TATAGGACTCGCGGCCACCAAGTTTCTAGGCCGAAGGCTTTGAAAAACTACCAAAACGTTGGCAGGAAGTTACAGGTTTAGGTAGTGATTACTACCTACAGTAAATGTACTGCTTTCATGCTTTTTTTCCAACTTTATTAAGATCATTTGTGGTACAAATCTATCGTTACAACCAGATATTTTGATTTGTGTTTCCGTAATTCCAGTTTAACTTTAAAAGGTGTAATACAAGCATGTATTTCAGTGAAAAGCTTATTTTTTCCTTGCAGCTCTTTAATGATAATATTTAAATATCAACAGGAAATGCTAAATGTGTTATTTATATATCAACATATATATCATAGAAAGTTTTATTTATTATCACCAGAGTTGATATTAATCTCAGTCCTCACCCTTTTGTTCCTTTCACTTTTGAAATAAAAGGATGCTGCTACAAATTTCTTCACCATATATCATTTTAAAAGAAATAATATAGCAAATGTAAAAAAATGTATAGCAACACAAATAAAAAGATGATTCTAATTTTAAATGTTATCGCCATGTATTTTTTCACAGAGGAGTAAAGAGTGGAATGGTGTCGTACATCACTATCGCTGTCAAATACAATACTTGTCATTACGATTTACGTCTGTTAAAACAATGTTCGTTGTCAAAAGTCCGTAAAATAGCCAAAAGAATCTTCACAAAGAGTTCCTTAGGACGGTCGGCACAAATATTATTTAATAATAAACATTCACAGAAGGCAAGTGAGCCAAACTAATATTGTTACCTTTAAATAATATGTTAATTCAGAATTCTCCTGGGACATTTTACATTATTTACATCGTATACATTATAATAAAATGCATTCACGCACTTAATTGTGAAATAAACGAGATATTTCATGAAACTGCTTAGCCATTTAACAGTAAATACTTCGCATTTCAATCATGTTCGAAAACCTAGAGTAGCATGTTCAGCTACTCTAGGTTTTTGTTGTTAGGCAATATTATTTTTCAAGAAATAATACAGCGAATGTAAAAAAATGTGGAAATATATAATGATCTATCAGGAATTCTAAAGATATGCTGTTTTTAAACGTTTTGCGAACTTGCTCTTGAAATTTATATACGGTAAGTGTGAATCAATTGATATTTAATAAATAAAATTAAAAAAGAAAGAAAAGTTGAATAAGTCATGTTGTTAAGAAAACTGAATATTTATATAATAAAACTGAGAAAAGATTGAAAAGAAGGGGGCAATATATGGCAGCATTTAACATCTTGTTCGTAAATTCTAAAAATATGCTGCTTTTAGAAAATTTGTGATTTTATTTTTTATTTTTGTAGGGCATAAGTACGAAGAAAAATTATGTTTAATAATGAAACTGAAAAGACAGTCGGAAGAAAAGGCTGTATTAGCAGGATGAATCCAAGAGCAGATTGGTAAACTGCGAGCTCGATGAGAGCATAAAAAACCCAAACAACGTTAAAATTTGAAACCTTCTAGACATTTTTTCCCCTTTTCTTTTCTTCCTTCTTTTCTTTTCTTTTTTTTTTTTGTATCAAGAAAATTTTGATTTCATTTGTTAAATCAAGAAACTGTTTTAACACAGCTCCTCGACATAATGACCTCACTTTGCTATACTAAATAATTTCTCTGCTGTCGCTTTAATTTTTCAAGCAATGCAACAAACCCTATGATTTGGGGCTCGTTTACGAATAAAATTTACTCTTTTGTTATTGTTTCAGTAACTTTGTCCATCTGCAAACTTTTGGCGCTGTATTTACAACAAATACATAACTAAAATATATTCGCGGGCCGCATAATATTGCTTCGGAGGCTGTCAGTTTGAGATCACTTTTTTAATGGTTTTAAACTTGCAGATAATTGGGATATTAACAGAAAAGAATCTGTCACTTTAATTTTGAAATGAAAAGTAATTTTTTGCTAAAAAGACTTCGATAAATTTCTTCGTAAGTTCAACTCTTCGATAAGTTTTTACTAGAAAACCGCCTCTGTGGTACCCTAATTTGTTGATTTTATACGATTCTTTAAAAAAAAAACCCAGATTGTGGGGAATTTTGATTCTTGCAATTTGAGATTTGAATTGTTTTGTTACATTAAATAATTAAACATGCAAAGAAGTATCATATCCACCCTCCATGTATCTTGGTTAAGTGGCAGCAATAACAGTTAACATGCATGGTTCTGATCCCAGCGAGGGTATAATTGCTTTCCCGCGTTTTCCGCTCTGAAAAACGTATTACCACTACATATATGCATAAATGTAAATGATGTGAAATTTGATTTGCATGCACAGGCGCGCATATGACCCTAAGAATAGTAGAATTCCAACTATCTAGACTAATTGGGACCATAGTTTATTATAGCAACCGAAATCCGAATGATTGGGTATCTTTTCCCCTGTAAGCCAAATACGTTGTGGGGATTTATTTAAATTATTTAACTGTTAATTTTATTTTGAAGCAGCTTTCCTATTACTCTCGCTTTTAACTCACGCTTTCTTGCCAGAATGTAAATGCGGTAGCGCGCGTGTATTCAAATGAGGAAGAAAGAAGTTAGTATTTAAGGGACGAGTTTGGAAGGTGAATTTAGAAAAACAGAGGGAAAGAGAGAGAGAGAGCATGTTCTGCTTGCCTGAAGGCTACGTTGATATCTTTGATTTACTAAAGATTAGATTTCTGTGGCGTTGAGTTCTTCTAGCCATTAAGCTTGTTTACGTTGACTTTTATGAGTCAGAGCCTGCCTGCGCTTTAAGTCACCTGTCAAAAGCCGTTAGGTTAACTTAATTCTATGCTTTTTTAAGTTACTTGTTACCTTTTGAGTTAAGCCAAAAGTATTGGCTTTTGTAAGCGCGAGTTGAGTCATCTGTGAATATATTTAGTTAATAAAGGGTCCTTTACACCCTTTCTCTGGACTTGGTCGTACTTAAGACTTCAGGATAAATCCTTACACAGTCTGTTGATGTCTAGTTAGTTTATGCTAGCTTAGAATGCCAGATGTTACAACGTATTTAGTGTAATTCAGATGAGACCACTTTTCATTTATTTATATTTTGCTTAATCTATTTTCTTTTAACAATGACTATACAGCTTCATAAAAAAACTATTTTTACTTCTTTAAATAAAAGCGCTTTGCACTTTTATTTCGACAACTATTTTCATTGCCTTTACGTCCAATCTGTTTCTGATTTAAGTAAACCAATGAAATTCGTTTTTATTTACGCAGATTCCTTACGTTAAATGCATAATCGTTTTTAACTGTTCTAGAATTAAACAACGAAATTAATTTTTATTTGTTTAAAACTAAAAACGTAACGTATTTCCGTTTAACTAAACTAAACTCTCCATGCTTATTTACTCCGTTTTAAAAATGAATATACGTTATGGTATGGAAATGTTTTTCCGTTAAGGTGTGTGTTTTCCAAATGCTTTGTGATAATATCGTATTGATAATCAATATAGTAGAGTGAACTCTGTTGCGACGACCATCTCCCTAACGCAACCGAATCTGACAATGGTTAGTATTTCTGAGAGTTAGTAAATAAATAGCAGTGTTTAACGTTAAGCATTCCCCTCCATAGCAGATTAAAGTCGTGAGAGGGTTCACTATTTGCAGAATGGTATGGGATGATATATTATTGATTCTGCGATGATACGCTGTTGGATTAAAATGACTGTGTATGACATGTTAAGCCAAAAAATGTGTCTTTAATATGTATCATATAATCTTCAGAAATGCATGATAGATTTCTTCTATAATTCAGCATAAATTTTCTGGATTATAAAATTCGTATTAAACCAGAAATTTAATTAAACTTCAAGTAGGAAGAAAAACACACTTCAGTGAAAAACTTAAATTAGGAAAAACAGCAACATTATTTTAACGTAGCTTTTAGATAAAACTCTAGCGACTTCGAGGGTAATCGAGCACAGGTCTTTCTTCTTTAGGGGGGGGAATCTACTATTAAATCATAAATTTAATAATTATTGAAGTTTTATATTACGTTATTTTATATTTTCTATTACTTAGGGGAACGAAAACAATTAAAATATAAAAATAAATTAATAACAAATTACTTAGTTTTGCGAGACTAATAAATAATCTAGATATCTATAATTCGAGTACATTTACTATTTTTGTATACTAAATACAGTATTTTATCCTATTCTGTTCCATTCCTCATTTTTTGCATAATTTGCTTTCTGAATGCCTAGAAATATTTTTGATTATTATAATTATTGTTATTCAGGACTTAAATGTGGAAAGAACATAAATAATAATCTAAATTTTTTTATGTTGTATAAACGTTTTGTCTTCTTAATTTGTGAATACATTTAGCGCAGTGCGTTTTAACGATGGCTTATTTTTCCCCACACATTCTATATTATAACGAAAGAATGCTGTATATCCATTTTTAAGCTAGTTATCATTTGCATTTTCATATATTATTGATACATTTTAAGTCACATTTAAAAATATTATTGATAATGTGTAAATAATATTGACGTCGTATTTCTTCTTTAAATCCCTTTTTCATTTTTATATTGATAACTAATTGTACAGGCATATAATTAATGAGCTTATTTCCGCATAATTAAAGTATTTAATCGTATACTAGCTAGAAATTGGTGTTTGGTTAGAATAGTTAGAACACTAAATTATCAATTCAGTTTGGATATGGCCACTTTTTGAAGGATTTTTCACTAAAAATTTTATTTTCTTAAATTTTTGTCTTAGAATCCTTACATTTTTTATAAATAAATAAATTTTGCTTGTAAGTTTAAATCGTAAATGTTGTTTTTACATTGTTCAGGAATAAGTGTCAAACATTCTAATAAAAAAAGAAATTTTTAAAAAAGTTAATAAATAATATATATCTCATATTTCTTACTCCCCCGCAACATCAACTCAATCAAGTAAAAAGTTTTCATAACAAAACAGGTAACCAATAAAAATATGATATTTTTTAAATATGTAAACAGGAAGTGTCTTACCTTGTAAAGTTAAAAGCGTCAACCAGTTCAAAACCATCTCATTTCTTTGATGCATGTGACTGACAAACTTGTAATACAGTACAAATTGATAGAATATTTATATCAATGTATTCTCACAAGACTTATTTTTCTGATTTGCGTACTCATGTTGATGTCGTAAGTGATTAAATCACCATTATTTCAAATCCAAACTTAATGCTGCAAATGTAATTTTTCCAGTTTTAAAAAGTTATTTTTCAGTTGGAAGTAATAGTAAGCCGTTTCGGAAGTAAATTTTGTGTACCGCACATATTAATAAACAATTTCAAGTTCAGTAAGTTCAGAGACAGCATTTCAGAAATGAAGAGATGTATAGTACGCGCTAAATTTAATCTGCATTTCTGTTCTTCTTAATTGGAGAAATTAGTTTGTACACAAATTATCAATGCGAAAATAGAAGTTCTTTTTATGTTGCTCGCGTAAAATCCAGATGACCTTTCGGAAGGAAAATTTTGCTGTAAAACATATCTGCAATTATCATGGGAGTTTCAAAAATCGCATGATAAATATGTACTTAAGCTTGTTCTTTGCAGCAGAAGATCAATTATTGTAAGTTCAGACTTTTGTAGAAACATTCTACTAGTGCAGGTTTTTTGCTGGATAATTTTCATTTGCTTTTGCTGCTACAGACAATACTCTCAGAAGGCGAACACAGTTTTCTGACAGATATTAGTTCCAATCCGCTACAGGACATGAGAGAACAGAACAATTCTCACCTGCTGCTGTTTCAGGAAGGTGTTCAGGGATGAACGCCCCACTCAGTGGGATCAGCGAACGCGAGGTCCAGCCGGAAACTGCGGTATCTGGACAGCCTCCCAACAAGGCTAAACTGAAAAAACTTCCGTAGAAGGCAGTGGTCTGTAGTTCCTACCGGTTGAGATCGTTAACTTCATAATATTACTCGCATTGGTATGCATAAAACGGAATAAAATTGTCAGATCTTGTGAACATTGCGCAATCAAGTACTTGACCATCGTGTGGACAATAATGCTGTTGCATAACAGCAGCTCAAGGCAAGCAAGTGCTATTAAAAATAAAAGTTCATTGTGTTTAAATCTGTTAAAAATTCTATTTATCAAAGTTAAAAAGTAATAAAACGAGCTTTGAAAGCAGATTCATATCAGAAGAAAATGTTAGGGTAGTTAGCTTTTTAAAAAAAACCCTTATTTGATTCCGAAACTGATTGTTATTATTTCTGATTATTATTTGATTACTGTCTGTGCAATTTAGATCGCTATCACTGCGTATGGGGATTGAAAGTTTCTTAGATTATTTATTTTTGAATTTCTCGTTCACATTCACTGTCTGAAATGGCTGATAGCGCACGAAAGCCAAAACTACAGATTTCAAAACGTTTCCCTTTTCATTTATTTTTATCCTTTTTTCCTCCCACTTTAAAATGCTTCATTTCAATGTTAAAATTATTTTACATATTTCCTATGAACTCGTGAAGCGAAAAATTATAATAGAAATCTTAAAGTACAGTATATGATTAGATTCTTATTAACAATTTAAATTTTAGCTTGAATTTTTCTTTTCCCGTTTTAGGCATTTGCTTCTGCGGAAACAAAAGTTAGTTTTAAGAATATTAATGCAACCAGCTGTGGATATTAATTTATTTAATAGTTCGGAAAGGTTAAAAAATAAAATTAATTCTTACTGACTTGGGGTTATTATTATTAAGTTGCTAGCGTTCTGTTTACGAATCTGAAATATTGTACTTTCTGAAAATATTCTGCAATATTTATCCGAAGATTATTTCAATTATGAGGTGAGTCGTGGCTTTTCTCCCGTCTTCCTAGCGTGCGGGAGAAACTTTGCATAACTTTTTTTCCCTAAGTTATGTAAAGTTGTATTTTAAAATATTCCAAAAACTTTCACCTGTGATTTAGGTTTTGTAATATCCATACAATAATTTAATCTCAAACTCTTTCTATAGTTTTGTAGTGCAGAGACTAATAAGTTTTATAGTGCGAGAAATATTAAAAACTAGATCTCGTGCGAGAATCGAACCACAAACGTTCCATTTGCGAGCGGAATTCATTTAACACTCCACCGTTATAGCACGCACAGGAAGATGCCATAATTTATTTGTTCTTCTATGAAGGCTGTAAGACTTTGGTGCTAGATGAGTTATTCCGGCAACGTATTATTTTCCAGTGGCTTAAAGGAACAACCTGCAATATCAAAAACCGCGATATATATATATATATATAGCAGCCTCATAAATGAGAATGTAATCCACGTGAAGCGGCAGTTACAGTTTAAATTCTGAATTTTCTGGCTTGCAAATTATTCTGCAGAAGTAAGGGATTTCTAAATTATGTGTTCATTAGCAGAGCACCTTGGATTAGCCTGAAACCTGACCAGTGAAACCAAGTTGACTGCCGCATAAAGGCGTAGCAGTAGGCGCATGTTTTTTTCCCCCTCCTTTCGGTGTAATATCGATCTATCCTCTGTGGTGCAGCCTGGATAATGTTTTTGGTGATGAGACTACTAAGGGATCGATGAGTTCAGCCATTTCAGGTGAACTGCTTTTTAGCAAGTGTCCGACCATTGTCAGACACTTGCAAATCAGGTATTTCATCATTCGTATTCCAGGTAATTCATTAATAGCAAACTAACGAGCTCTCTGGATTACACTGTTGACGCAATGGCATGCGGGGGAAAAATACGTTAAATTACATAAAAAAATATGAAATGGATTCGTATTCTTCCTCTACCTACGAGGCATAGTGTAGTTCTGAATATGATATGTGAGAATTTACTCGTGTGCACCGCGGAAGACCTTGGAATGTAGATATCTGAATGTTTTTCAGTTAGATCTAGGCTTAAACAATTTGTATGCAAGGTGGACATCCTCTCAAAATGTTGACCGGAACTCTTTAGTTCACAATTTTGTGTCACGTGCAGGAAATCTCGTGACTGCAGCCACGTCGCACAGAAACTAACAAACATTTTTCGGCTGTCATCACGATGAAAAGATGAAATCCGATTCGAAATTCGTTATTTGAAATGAAATAGAACGTAGAAAGAAACTGTTACCATTTCGAATAATAGCGCGTATGAGAGTGAAATGAGTCTTCTCTTTCTTTATTCATTTTCCTCTTCTCTGCCAACTGACTGATCATACAGTTACTTTAATAATGATGGCATCACGCAACTAAAACCCAGATTGACCTGTTATTTTTTTATTTTTGTCGCTCCTAACAAAAGGTAGCATAAAAAGTCAATTGCTTAAGTACTGTCTGCATTTGCCTGTTATACAGGAAACTGAAAATTTAATGCTCCGATTGTAAATGCACAAAGTGTGCAGCACTGTAATAATGTATTTCACTTGTGTTTGTAAAAGCAATTAATAAATCTTTATGCATAACTGTCTTATATTTTCGCAATAATATTAGGTGTAAAATGTTTTGGAATTACCTTTGTTTTTGTCTGTTAGCTGGTAATTTTTTGTTTCTCTTTCCAAATCATTCTTTATGATGCATATCTTAGTTTGTCATCTTTATTATGTTTAACCAACCATGTTAAGATTCTTTTACCAAAGCAGTGAATTTTTAAATCCAAGTTTTGTATTTTGCTGTATTGAACACAATATTTAGATTACATGTTAACGCACTAGAGGAACTGATAGGTAGGTAATATTATACTGCAAAGTACTTGAAAACAGATTTCTGTTTGGAAGGAGATGCCTTTCTAGAACAATTTTTAGAAAAAAAAAAAAAAAATCTAGCTCCTATCTACATTACAATAAAAAAATCGAAAAATTCCATTACAAGCCTTTAGATTTTTGGATCGGAAATAAACCCGAGACGCAGCTATTGATAATAAACGAAGAGGAGTAGAAAACCCTTCGCTTCAATTCAAAGGGAATTCTCCAGTTCTTCGCCAATTTACTTTAAGCAAAAGCGGACAGCACCATCTGACCGCAGCCGACCGGTGGTACAAAAATATGCTTCCGCAAAAAGTTAACGCAAACATTCCTGTACATTTACATTCAATAATAAAATTTAGGATTAAAAGATATTTGTGCCGAGAGAAGTTTGCAACGACGGAAAAATAACGGGATACCCAACGCAAAGTTCACACGCCAAGCGCCCGGTGAAGAACGAACTCCTACAGCGAAGGAAGTTCAGGAAGAACCAACGGTGGTTTCCGACGGCACAACAACAGCCAGCCCAGCCGATGAAGTCCCAGGAATGTTCTTAGTACAAGTATGATACTGTGTCTTGAGTCTAAGAGATTGCTTTGGAAATTTTGGCGTGTTTGTGGAATGAATTTAAGCAAATTCTGAACTTTGTCATGTAAAACGTAAAGGTATTATGTTAGCTATTTTGTAAGAGTTAAAATTGCTGATGTATGTCTGAGATATTTAAGTGCAAGTTAACAAGAAAAGCAAGCGTTGTGAATGTAGTTAGTTAAAAATTAGACTGTCCAGCCCACAGTCCTGAAATTAAGGTATTCATTGAGGTTTAGTGTGTCTAAGTTATTAACATGTGGGATTACGATGAGGTTCTAGTGTAGAATACTTGTACAATTTTACACGCTTTTACACACTGTAAAATGCTGGAGAGCAAGGGTAAGAAGTAAAATTATAGTGAGAATGCAAACTTTATGAAAGATTTTGATAAAGTTGAAATGGCAAATGAAATTACGAAATGTTTAAGATAAATTGGCGTAATGTTAGTAATTTTGCGAGACTATAGTTTCGAAAATTAAATAGAACTTTCTTTTCTTCAGCTGCGGAAAGGAAAGTGATGAAAAGAAAAGGGAACATGTTACTCAAGCTGCTGAAAAAAAAAAAAAAAAAAAAAGCTTTGCCTTCTGTATGCGAATTAAAGGCCTCGTTTTCTATCATTTAGCTGAAACATTTTCGAATTTCTCTGTATTTTTCTCATGTAGTTCTTGTTTTCTTCCAGCATTTTCACTTCCGTAGTTGAAGAAGATGGTTTTATTTAATCTTTGAAGCTACTGCAATCCCACAAAATTACTCACATTACGCCGATTTCTGTTGCCTGTTATTGGCTACTTAATATGTACGCGTCTTTCCGTAATCTGCTAACTGTTTTAGAATTTTTTCTGCTCTCAGCACCCTTAGAAAATGTTTCATTGATGTTCACACCCTATGTCAAAGTAATATTACTTCTAAAATTATATCTACCCTACAAAATAAGTCATATGATTCCACTGCTAAAATGCTTACAAATAAATTTTAAAAAATTGTACAAGAAATTGCCTTATCGAATACACAGACGAACTAATAACACTCTACTGGTATCCGGAAGAATAAACCCCTACCATATCATCCAATAAAACTGTACAGGCATCAGTAAGAAACAGATGCATTTTTATGGACATTCGCGATTTTACTTTTAATCATATTATGACCTAAAACCTAAAAGAATAAGTCCACCAGCGGCCGAGCGGTAAAGACGCTGAACACTGGTAGTTCGGTCCGATCGAATCCGCGAACGGCTGGCGCTGGGCGTTTTTCGGGTTTCCCCATGTGTAACGGTATAGAGCCCGTTTCCCTAGAAAGTCTCCACGAAGGCTCCTTCCCTCAGCAGATAGACTAGCGTGCTTTGCCATAATTAAATACACCAACACCTAAAAGAATAATTATTTATTTCTTAGTGCATTTAATGAATTGTGTAATTTGAATAGCTTTTTTCATCAATAACAAATTTTAATAATCTTTTTTTCTATTATAATAAGCATTTTAATATATTATATTCGGAATAATGTTTAGAAATAGCTATACTTAGCA